CCAGCTATTGTCATCTGATTTTAGTTGGAGAGTACAGGGCTTACTGCCTAGATTAACCAGGTACCATCTTAGGTTAGACCTGTTCTGTACATTTACTGATGTAATCCTTATAATAGTCGTGCCTCAGAGTTGTTCTAATGGAAGTGGAATATTGAGCACAATAACTAGAACACAGCAAGTTCTCAATAGAATAACCATCATCATGATTACCATGTATTACTGTTTCACAGAAGACAAAACAGAGGCTCAGATTGTTTCGGAGTTACAGAGCAATCAATGAGGAGGGCTAATCTAAGTCTTGTACAGCTTTACAGTCCATGCTGTATCTCCATTTAAATACTTATTATATAATGAGTGTGCACATGACGTGTCATTAGTGGTTGTGAGACCATGGACCAGTCATAGCACTGAGTTTTCTCATCTATAAAATAGGGGTAACTTTTAATGCACTAGAATTGGGTTGTGAAAATTACTAGACCTCAGGCTCTCTTCTAACCCTAGAAGGTAGCCAGCGGGTCTTAGACTGGGCCTGAGGCCTCATTTGTACCACCCTTGTCCACCTTAGAAACTGGTTCGGAAAAGATAGGTTTTGAAGGTATTAATAGTATTGGAGAGGAGCTGCTTCCTCTTTTCTCCTTTCTAGGCATAGCCACTGTCAGAATTTTGTATTAATCATTCCCTAGCTTTTCTTTATAGTTTTTTTTTTTTTTTTTGGAGATGGAGTTTTGCTTTGTCTCCCAGCTGGAGTACAGTGGCGCGATCTCGGCTCACTGCAGCCTCTACCTCCTGGCTTCAAGTGATTTTAGAAATGGACCCCATTTCAAAAAAAAAAAAAAATAGCCAGCTGTGTTGGTGGGTGCCTGTATTCCCAGTACTTTGAACCCAGGAGTTGGAGACAGCAGTGAGCTAAGATCACATTACTGCATTCTAGCCTGGATGACAGAGTGAGGCCCTGTCTCAAAAAAAAAAAAAAAAAAAAAAAAAAGTTTTCCTTCATGTTGCCCCTTTATAGTTACACCCACCCTCATCCTCAACCCCTGGTTACAGAGAAACAATCTGTTTTCTGTCTCTACAATCTTGTCATCTTGAGAATGATACATAAATGAAATCATTCATAGTGACCTTTTGAAATCGGCTTTTTTCCACTCAGAATGATGCCCTTAAGATCCACCCAGTTTGTTTTATGTATCAATGGTTCATTTTTATTGCTATCTAGTATTCTGTGTTATGGATATATATCAAGTATATTTAACCTTTTTTCTTTTCAAGGCAGGATATCACTCCATCTCCCAGGCTGGAGTGCAATGGTGCAATCACATCTCACTACAGCTTCAGATGCCCTGGGCTCAGATCATTGTCCCACCTCAGCTTCTGTGTTAGTTGGAACTACAGGTGCATGCCACCACAGCTTGCTAAGCTTTTAAAAAATTTTTGTAGAGATGAGGGTCTCACTGTGTTACTCCAGGGTGGCCTTGAACCCTTGGGCTTAAGCAGTCCTCCTGCTTTGGCCTCCCAAAACTCCAGGATTACAGGTATAAGTCACTGTGCCTGGACAATGATTAATGTATTTGAGAAGATTTTGGCTCTTCTTGGCTCTTATGAATAAAGCTGCCATAGATGTTTAAGTTTTTGTATGGACTTAAGTTTATTTCTCTGGGATGCCTAGAAGTGAGATTGCCAAGTCATATGGCAAACATGTTTGATTTTTAAGGAAACTGTCAAACCGTCCAGAGTGGCTGTACCGTTTTATATTCCCTACTGTGAATGTGTGTATGTCTTCATCTGTGAAATAACTCTTTATGTCTGTTGCCCATTTTTAATTGTTTTTTTGCTGTTGCATTTTGAGAGTTCTTTATGTATTATAGTTATGAATCCTTTGTCAGATGTGTGATTTGCAAATATTTTTCTCCCAGTCTTTTCATCCTTTCACAGTCTTTGTGCAGAGGAAAAATTTTAAAATTTGTGAAGTCAAATTCATCGAGATTTTTCTTTTATGGATTGCTTTTGGTATCTTGTCTAAGAATTCCTCACTAAGTCATAAGTCCTTAAGATTTTCTCCTAATGTGTTATTCTAAAGGTTTTATAATTTTATGTTTTACATTAAAATTTTCCACTTCAGTTTGAATTAATTTTTATGTAAAATATAAAGTTTAAGTTAAGATTCCTTTTTTTTTTTTTTTTTTTTTTTTTGCCTTTGTATATCTGGATATCTAGTTGTTCCAGCACAATTTGTTGAAAAGTCTGTTTTTATTCCATTGAATTGCTTCCATACCTTAATCAAAAATCTGTTTGGCTTACTTGTGTATTTCTGGGTTCTGTGTGTGTGTGTGTGTTTTTTTTCCCCACTCATCTGTGTGACAGTCCTTCCCCCGTTACCACTGTCTCAGTGACTTTATCTCTAGAAATTACAAAATTGAGCATAGAGATTCTTCTCAGTTCTTTTTCAAAATTGATTTAGCCATTCTAGTTCCTTTGTCTTTCCATGTAAAATCTTTGAATAATCTTTTTTGAGACAGTTTTGCCCTTGTTGCTCAGGCTGGAGTGCAATGGCATGATCTTAGCTCACTGCAACCTCTGCCTCCTGGGTTCAGGCAGTTTTCCTGCCTCAGCCTCCCTAGTAGCTGGAATTATAGGTGCCTGCCACTATGCCCAGCTAATTTTTGTATTTTTAGTAGAGACAGGGTTTCGCCATATTTGCCAGGCTGGTCTCCAAACTCCTGACTTCTGGTGATCCACCTGCCTTGGCTTCGCAAAGTGCTGATTACAGACATCATCCGCCATGCCCAGCCATAATCTTGTCTGTATCTGTAAAAAACATCTTGCTGGGATTTTGATAGGAATACATTAGCTTATAGGTCAATTTGTAGAAAATTGACATCTTTACTATCTTGAGTCTATGAACACATTATATCTTTCCAGGAATTTAAGTCTTCAGTTTATCTTACCAGCATTTTATATTTGTTAGCATAAATAAGTTATTGTGTTTCTGTCAATCAGTTGACTCTACTTATGGGTCTCTTTCAGGTTCTCTATTCTGTTTTATTCAACTAGGTGTCTATCCCTTGGTCAGTAATACACATTCCTGATTACTGTAGCTTATATAATAAGCTTATTGTATAAATAAAACTTATTTAATGTCTGTAAATTGAGTATCGTGATTCCTCCACTGTATTCTTCTTTTACAATAGTGATTTAGCTGTTACAGTGCATTCTCATTTCTACATAAATACTAAAATAATCCTACATCCACAAAAAATTATTGCTGGGACTATATTAGGAGTTTTTTAAAAACCTATAGATCACATTAAGGAGAATTGGCATGTTTACTGCATTGAGTATCCTAATCCACATTTCTTTGGCTATTTAGAACTTCTCTGATTTCTTTCATCAGCATTTTATAGTTTTCAGCATACAAATCTTCAGCATGTTTTGTTGGGTTTACACCTATTTTATTTTGCTTAGAACCATTTGATTTTCATATAGTTATAGGGCTGTTCAGATTATCCCTTTAATACTGGGTAGGTCGGTAGTTTCTGCTTTTTTTTTTTTTTTTTTTTTGAGACAGAGTTTCACTCGTTACCCAGGCTGGAGTGCAATGGCTGCAATCTCAGCTCACCACAACCTCCGCCTCCTGGGTTGAGGCGATTCTCCTGCCTCAGCCTCCTGAGTAGCTGGGATTACAGGCACGTGCCACCATGCCCAGCTAATTTTTTTTTGTATTTTTGGTAGAGATGGGGTTTCACCATGTTGACCAGGATGGTCTCGATCTCTTGACCTCGTGATCCACCTGCCTTCGGCCTCCCAAAGTGCTGGGATTACAGGCTTGAGCCACCGCGCCCGGCCGATTTAGATATTTTTAAATGTTTTTAAATATAGCTGAATATTTTTCTGCACAATGACCTTCACAGTCTTTTGAAATTTATTTCTAAGTACTTAATATATTTTTGTTGCTATTGTAAAACTTTTTTTTTTAATTAAATTTTTATTTGTTGTTTCTTTATACAAATGAAATTGGCCTTTGGATTACTTTGTATTCTTATACATTTCATTAAAAAATATATCTGGGAACCTTATTGCAGTCTTCCTTAGTATAAATTATACAGCATCAAGTTTATATTAGAGTTTTAACTCATTTGGTATTATTTTTTATTGTTTACCAAGCGCTATGAAAGACTATTCTTTTTTGTTTGAAGGAATACTGTTTGCATTTGTTAAAAGGAAATGGTATTTCATAATCTCTGTGGAGATTTCAAACAAAAGGAAACATGTCTCTTTTCTGCTTCCAGAAATCCTGATTTTGTAAGTCTAGAGAAAACCTTAGCTCCTTGTTTTGTTTTGTTTTTTCTTTTCTTTTTTTTTTTTTTTTTTGAGGCGGAGTCTCGATCTGTAGCCCAGGCTAGAGTGCATTGGTGTGATCTCTGCTCACTGCAACCTCCACTTCCCAGGTCCTGGTTCAAGCAATTCTCCTGGCTCAACCACCCGAGTAGCTGGGATCACAGGTGCGCACCACCATGCCTGGCTAACTTTTGTATTTTTAGTAGAGATGGGGTTTCACCAGCCAGGCTGGTCTTGAACTCCTGATCTTGTGATCCACCTGCCTTGAGTCTCCCAAAGTGCTGGGATTACAGGCATGAGTCACTGCACCCAGCCACCTCCTTGTTCTTTTAAAATAAATCTCCCATGTGGTTCTGTACATTTCTGTTTGAAAACCACAGCTAGAGAAGTTGTTAAATAGTAAAGGCATTTAGCCCATGGTGATATGGGGGAAGGGAGGCATTTCATTTAAAATTTTGAAGAATTTATGCATCATTTAATATTTCATGTGTGATGTACAGATAAAATTAGTATATTTACATAAACAGTTGTCCTTTATTAAGTGACAGCAGGTATGAATTTAAAAAGAATGGACATTGAAAAAGAACAGTTACAGTTTGAGATATATTGGTTGAGTACTCAATATATTTGCATTAAAATTTAGGATATAATTTTGTCTTTCCCAGTTGGAGTCATTCGATGCCCAGTTTGCAGCCAAGAATGTGCAGAGAGACACATCATAGATAACTTTTTTGTGAAGGACACTACTGAGGTTCCCAGCAGTACAGTAGAAAAGTCAAATCAGGTAAGTGTATTACATCTTGAACCTTTTGCCAATTTTTTAAAAATTGAGATTGGGTCTTGCTTTGTCACCCAGGCTGGAATGCAGCTGTGTGACCTCTGCTTCCTGGGTTTAAGTGATTCTCTCATCTCAGCCTTGTGAGTATCTGGGATTACAGGCATGCACCACCACACCCAGCTAATTTTTGTATTTTTACTAGAGATGGGGTTTCACCAGGTTGGCCAGGCTGGTCTTGAACTCCTGACCTCGAGTGATCCACCCGCCTTGGCCTCCCAAAGTGCTGGGATTACAGTTGTGAGCCACCACGCCTGGCCTCTTTTGTCAACTATTGATGGGGTAACGTAAAATGCTGGAGGTCTCTAAAGTAAAAGGAATCAAACATTAGATAGTTCATCTATAAAATTATGTAATATTTTGAAAGGTATATAAAGAATAATGAATAATTCACCATAAGAAATAAAACGACAGTGCAGAAGCTCTTGATTGCATTACCCACATTCCAATCTCCAGAGAAACCATTGTTTTATATTTGATATTATTTCATTTCTTTGTACTTTTACTAGGTATTGACAATTAGATTTTTATTCAAAGCTCAGTTCTCACTTTTTTCTATTTTAATGATAAGCTCTATAATGATACCTATGAAAGACACCATGTCTTTGATCAGTAAGGTTTTTACATTTTTAAGAGAGCCTTCTTTTCTACATGGTATTACTTTGAAAGCTTCATTTGTGTTTTGGGGTTTGTTGTTGTTGTTGTCTGAAATGCAGTGATGTAGTCATAGCTCACTGCAGTCTTCAACTCCTGGGCTCCAGTGATTCTTATACCTTAGCCTCCTGAGTCACTGGAACTTCAAGCTCATGCTGCCATGCCCAGCTAACTAATGCGTCATTTGGTAGCATTGTCCAAGGTTTTGGATTTAGAGATCCAGTGGTGTTTTTCTTTTCTTTCTGACTTCTTTTTTTTTTTTTTTTTGAGACGGAGTTTCGCTCTTGTTGCCCACGCTGGAGTGCAATGGCGCGATCTCGGCTCACTGCAACCTCCGCCTCCTGGGTTCAGGCAATTCTCCTGCCTCAGCCTCCTGAGTAGCTGGGATTACAGGCACATGCCACCATGCCCAGCTAATTTTTTGTCTTTTTAGTAGAGACGGGGTTTCACCATGTTGACCAGGATGGTCTCGATCTCTTGACCATGTGATCCACCCGCCTCGGCGTCCCAAAGTGCTGGGATTACAGGCTTGAGCCACCGCGCCCAGCCTCTTTCTGACTTCTATAACCTATATATAAAACATTTCTGTTGGCTTCTTAAATCTAGATGTCAGATCTATCATGCATAATCTATAGTGCTCCAGTGGGGATTAGCCATGTTGAGATTAATTCTACAGCTTGTGTTAAGTATAGTGTATCAGTCTGCTTTTGGATCATGATTCATTGATGATTCCTCTAGGCAGTTCCCTTAATTTGGAATGGAAGATCTGGGAAAGAACTAAATCTGGTTAGGAAAAAGTGATTATTAGCTATGTTTATCAGGACTCTTTAGTAATCACGTGGTTAATTTCTGTACTTTTCGTTGAACTTTCAGTTTGCTGTTCGTTGGGAGAACTGCATGAATTTAAGGTTCGCTTTGAATAACCATAGCCACTGCTGACTAAAACACATGTTTTTGTAGTTTGGAAAGTATCCACAATTCTTCCTGATTTGAACCTTATCAAAGGCCAAAACCGAGCTTGCTGCAGGAGATAAACTTTCTAATTGTGTAATTGTGAAACCACCCTTAAAGAAAGAAACATAATTATTTATGTGGGCTACTGCGTTGGGCACTTAAGTCCTCTGAAAGTTCTCTTTTGAATACAAATGATTTTGTTTCTGTCTTCCATTGTGTCATGTCACTTTGCTTTACATGTGATTGTAGTAGCTATACTGTTTATTAGATTCATAGTAGTATATGTGCATGCTTAATCCAGAAAACTCATAAATACAGTAGCATAAGTAATCCTCAAATGTAAAGTAGCATAAATAAATGTCAACCAGATAGAATATTTATATGACATGAAATGATAACAGGATATGAAAGTTAAAGGGATTCTAATCCAGAGGACAAGTTTAAGAGGCTGCTTTATACCTCCATATGATCAGTTAGTTGTCAGTACATTTATTTTTATTTAGTCTGCTTCTGTAACAGAAACATAGTAAGAAGAAGTTAAACTAGAGATGAAGTCCAATATACATACTATATGTTGATACTGGGCTTGCATGGGTTTGGGGTATGAAATCTGGTATGAGAATAGGGTGCTGCTGGAGGCATTTGGTGAGGATGGAGACTGGAGAGGTTATATGGAGGATTGATTGGAACCAGGCAGTACTTAGCAAGAGGTAGTGAGAGCTGAATTAGCATGGTAACAATAAGGAAAGGAAGTTACCTTCCACAGAGAACTTGATAATTCTGACTGGGTGTGGAAGCTGAGGGATGTTTTACTGCCTGGATGGTGCCTTTCACAGAGATCATGATAAAGAGGGTGGGAGGTAGGTCGAGGCAATAAGTTGGTTTTTGATGTGATTGAGTTTGCGTTGCCTATGAGATTGTAAAGTAGAGGTGTCATCCATGGTTAGAGTGGAGCTCTGAAGGGAGTTCATAGCTGGTGATTTTGAAAAGTTTTTTTTTTTTTTTTTTTGAGACGGAGTTTCGCTCTTGTTACCCAGGCTGGAGTGCAATGGCGCAATCTTGGCTCACCTCAACCTCCGCCTCCTGGGTTCAGGCAATTCTCCTGCCTCAGCTTCCTGAGTAGCTGGGATTACCGGCACGCGCCACCATGCCCAGCTAATTTTCTTTTTTGTATTTTTAGTAGAGACAGGGTTTCACCATGTTGACCAGGATGGTCTCGATCTCTCGACCTCGTGATCCACCCGCCTCGGCCTCCCAAAGTGCTAGGATTACAGGCTTGAGCCACCGCGCCCGGCTGAAAAGTTTTAAAACTTCTATCTTCGTTGTAGATAATTTCAAGCGTTACCAAAGAAACAATTGACATAACAAACTCCCATAGACCCGTCATTTAGATCAGTAGTCATCAACTCTTGTTTTGTGCATACCCTGATACTGCATCCCCAGCCAGTAGTTTACATTGACGTTAATTCCAGCCATTATTATAATTTCATCTCTAACTTTTTTTGTTTTCTTTTTTTGAGACGGAGTTTCGCTCTTGTTACCCAGGCTGGAGTGCAATGGCGCGATCTCGGCTCACCGCAACCTCTGCCTCCTGGGTTCAGGCAATTCTCTGCCTCAGCCTCCTGAGTAGCTGGGATTACAGGCATGAGCCACCATGCGCAGCTAATTTTTTGTATTTTTAGTAGAGACGGGGTTTCACCATGTTGACCGGGATGGTCTCCATCTCCTGACCTCGTGATCCACCCGCCTCGGCCTCCCAAAGTGCTGGGATTACAGGCGTGAGCCACTGCGCCCGGCCTTTTTTTTTTGAGATTGGAGTTTTGCTCTTGTTGCCCAGGCTGGAGTGCAATGGCGAGGTCTTGGGCTCACTGCAACCTCTGCATCCTGGGTTGAAGTGATTCTTTTGCCTTAGCCTCCTAAGTAGCTGGGATTACAGGCTCCCACCACCACACCTGGCTAATTTTTGTATTTTTAGTAGAGACAGGGTTTCACCATGTTGCCCAAACTGGTCACGAACTCCATACCTCAGGTGATCCACTCACCTCAGCCTCCCAAAGTGCTGGGATTACAGGTGTAAGCCACTGTGCCCAGCCTCATCTGTAAATATTTTGGTATGTACTTCAGTAAAGCAGACTGATACACTATACTTAACACAAGCTGTAGAATTAATCTCAACATGGCTAATCCCCACTGGAGCACTATAGATTATGCATGATAGATCTGACATCTAGATTTAAGAAGCCAACAGAAATGTTTTATATATAGGTTGTAGAAGTCAGAAAGAGGCTGGGCGTGGTGGCTCAAGCCTGTAATCCCAGCACTTTGGGAGGCTGAGGCGGGTAGATCACAAGGTCAAGAGATCGAGACCATCCTGAAAGAAAAGAAAAACACCACTGGATCTCTAAATCCAAAACCTTGGACAATGCTACCAAATGACACATTAGTTAGCTGGGCATGGCAGCATGAGCTTGAAGTTCCAGTGACTCAGGAGGCTAAGGTATAAGAATCACTGGAGCCCAGGAGTTGAAGACTGCAGTGAGCTATGACTACATCACTGCATTTCAGACTGGGCAACAGCGTGAGACCCTGTCTCTACAACAACAAGAACAACAAAATATTAACTGGGCATGGTGGCACATGCCTGTAATCCCAGCTACTCAGGAGGCTGAGGCAGGAGAATTGCTTGAACCCAGAAGGCGGAGGTTGCGGTGAGCCGAGATCGTGCCACTGGACTCCAGCCTGGGTAACAAGAGCGAAACTCCGTCTCAAAAAAAAAAAATACATACCTCATTTGATTTTTGATGAGGGCTTCAGGAAATCACGTGTGTGTGTAGTGTGTCTGGCATATACTAAATAGCCAATAACCATTACATTTCTTTCTTTCTTCTCTCCCTTGTTTCTTTTTCTGACATTTTCTGTTCTAGACCTTGAAGCAGCCATTTCTCCTAGGTGCTTTGTATTTTTAGTAGAGACGGGGTTTCACCATGTTGACCAGGATGGTCTCGATCTCTCGACCTCGTAATTCACCCGCCTCGGCCTCCCAAAGTGCTTGGATTACAGGTGTGAGCCACCACGCCCAGTCGTATTTTTTTTCTGTAAACATAACCAACAAGAACATGTCAATTTCCTATATAAAAAATAAAAGAACCAGCCTGGGCAACATGGTGAAACCCTGTCTGAATGAATGAATGGATGAATAAACAAGAAAGAAAAGCAAGCATATAGGCGTGGTGGTGGTGGTGTGCACCTGTAGTCCCAGCTAGTTAGGAGGCGAGGCTGGAGGATCACCTGTGCTCAAGGAGATGGAGGCTGCAGTGAGCCATAATCATGCCACTGCACTC